AGTTGCACGTGGGGAAAAAAACCCGCCTGATTTAAATGTCACACCTGAACGCTCACATCCTTTTAATTATGTTTGAAATTATGAACATTGCTCAACATCATGAAAATTAAACCTTATTTTCAATAAGCAATCCTGCAAAATATTTGGGGGTGCTTAACTTTTTTTCCAGGTGTATAGTTCCATACCACTAAGTGTTTATAATTTTTGTTTTCCGCCTCATTGTACGTTGTTTGAGAAGCACATATTTTAGTCGAGTTCAGGTTATTAAAAATAGAGTCTATAAAGATGCTAAGTCCAGCAAAGAAATTTAAGTAATTCTTTAATTTGATGAAAAAATTATGACAACTTCACTGCCCGCAAGTAGTATGTTTGTTTTGAATTTCGCACAAAGTTACACGAGGACTATCTGCACGAGTCGTCCCTAATTTAGCAGTGTAAGACTAGAGGGAAGACAGCTAGTCATCAACACTCACCGCCAACTCTTGTGCTACTTTTTATCAACTAATAGTGGGATTGACCGTCACATTATAACGCCCGTAAGGCTGAAAGGGTGAGCATGTTTGGTGGGACGGGGATTCGAACCCGCAACCCTCAGATTGCGAGTTGAGTGCCCTAACCACCTGGCCGTGCCCACAAGTAATGCTTCTGATTAACTCAACAAAACATTTGAAAACTTTTTATTGATCGATATTAACTTTTGCTCGTGATGCCTGAGTTACTTGAATATTTTAGAAAATTGTACAAATTAAGAACTTAACAATAAGTTTAATATAACAAATAATGTCAAACTTGAAGGAGTTTTTAACATTTTTCAAACAGTGGTTAAAAAGACAAAATAATTTTAATATTATCTTTCATACTTAGGATCAGTGTATACAAATATAGTACAGTTACTGTCATTGTTCCCCGGTAGATCAGCAGTAAGTTTACGTACATACAACGCTAAAACCCGAAATTCGATTCTCCTGGTGGATAGATTGTAGATAGTCTATTTTGTAGCTTTTCGAGAAAAAACAAACAAACAACACCGTCAAGAATATTTAAAGCTGAAATTACAATTTCCTCCAAAATGTAAACCCTCGGTGCTATAAACGTTATGTTACATTTCTACGCACTCAGTTATATATATATATATATTAAAATCGTTGTTTTCTACCCTCTTACTCAGAGAGTTATAACAGTATCAAATGTTTTCCAGAAGGACATGTAAATAAGTTATAACATAATTATATATGAATCTTTTATATATAGTAATGGTTTAGATGCTATATATATTATCAAGTGCAAAGTATTGATTATGATTGGTTAAAATAATACATTATAACACCAATTATGTGTCATATAGTGTTCTTAGTATTAATAGCACTATTAATTCTTATACTAATTTGTAAATGACTTGTATAAAATGGATAAAAATTACACTCCATCAGCTTAATCTACTTTACACCATAACAACTGTTCATGCTATTTGACAATATACATAGTGTCTTAACCACTGTTGTATCCGTTGTATTTCGGCTGGTTTGATGAGTCGTGATATTGAATGAAAGACCTCGTTGTCACTAGTTATATCAGATATAGTTTGGCTGACACATTGTTAGACATGTTTCTTTGCGTTCACTCCCAAGTTCTTAGAATCAGTAGAGTAAATGTGTGTTAAATGTAACTTGGGATGTTCAACTGGCTTGAAAGGCATGATTATCCAACTGTTGGAGAAGGAATGTATGCCCGAAATGTTGCAAGTCTGTTTATGCTGCCGAGGAGATGTTAGCAGCTGGTCAGAAGTGGCACAAAACATGCTTTAAGTGTGGTAAGTGTTCACATATATTTATTTTACAGTATAGAGTCGTAGTAATAGCAGATACAAGAAAGTAAATGAAGTTTTTACTCAACTTATTCCCTCTTTATATTGGTAAGATCGCCCACACAGTCAGTAATTAATGTATGGTTAACATCAATGAAGATTTACACAAAAAAGTCCAGATCCACAAATGATTCACATGGCGATTAATTTATACAAACTTGATAAGAAAGCGATTTAGATATCCTTAAGTCTTCAGCAACTGCATAAAAAAAATAACAGGGAGTTCTTCGTTTTTTGTTCTTGTTTTTTAATTAACTTGTATAAATGTTATATCTCGTTAGGGACTTATCACCAACTACTCCAAATGTGTTTTCATGCACTAATGTTTAACTTTTATATTATTAGTTAATAGTTTCACATATCATTACAGGTTTGATTTGAATTTCGCGCAAAGCTACACGAGCCCACGACCCTCAGATTGCGAGTCAAGCGCCCTAATCACCTGGCCCATCATTAAAGGCTTTCTGCTCTTAAAATACACCTAGAGAAAGAATACAATATTTCTCTTCGAAAATAAGACAGGTCTTTATATGCGTTGGTGCTTATATTTTTTCTGATTTTATGAAGACAGAAACATTGAGAAGTGTACAGTTAAAATTTGATTAGACGGTGCACATGGTTTGAAATTGCAGAAAGGTTTCATTTAGATATTATTTCAAGTTATTTATCCCTATCTGGTCAGTGAAAAGGAGGGAAACAATGTTAAAAGGAGGAATATATGAAGTTGAGGCCATCTAAAAGTAAATAAAACTTACTTATTGGAAATTTTCACACGACTAGTAACGACTCCTTCGAATTATCAAATTGATTGTATTTTAACCTTGTTACTGTATCCTTGTCATGGATAAGTATATTAATTAACTAGACTGCTGACGAGCCAAAAAACCAATGTCTTTATGTGGAAGTAGCGCTATCTATCCGTGATTAGACGCATGTCCATGGTAGAGTTAAGAGAATGGCGTATTATTAACCATGGTAACAGATTATACAGGGACGTTGAGAGCCAGCACGGGCCCCGGGGCAAACATCCTCGCCGGACCCCCTTTCTCTCTCTCTCTTTTTAACATTTTCAAGAATTTATTAAAAATAAGATCCTAAATTAGGACAGCAACGAGCTCATAAACCACACAAAATCATAAAGCAGCAGCCGTTTTTACCTCACAGTATAAGCGTAAAAACGTTAATAAAGTAACAACAAATATCCATTAAATCTATAAAGTAACAAATACATATTAATTATTACTCAAATTATTATTTCAGTCGTTCTTTATGTATCAAGCGTCTATATGCAAAGAAAATCCAAAAACTATGGTTTTTTATCTTTAAATAAAGATATAGCCTAAGGATGCTTTGCGGGCTTTACGGCATAACCAGGTTTCATTCACTCGGGCCCCTGGGCAGTTGCCCCCCTGTCGGCGGGCCTGAGATTATAAGTATAACTAGATGTACTTCAGCAGGATCTCCGAAAGTGTTCTGTTTCAAGAGTAAATAAAACCAAAATTAAGAGTAACAAATATTTATATCTCTTGCTTTGAAGTTTATTTGTCATGCTTTGTTGTAACCTACAGAGTGCATAATACTTCTGGTGATTCATACTATGCACACGTTTTACTGACGTCACGAGAGTACAAGCTGAAACGTTAAACGTCCCTTATGTGAAGTTATTTTAGTTTCTACTGTGTGACTAGCCACAGACAACCAGGGGCACATTAACCGTGGCGCAGGTGCAATAGGGCCCCAAGCGGTGAGGGACCCCTACTGACGATCCGGACCGTCATTTTAACTCTTTCTTTTTTTGATAAATCTTCATATTTTATCTGTTATTTGTCTTATTCCTACTCAATACAGACCAAATCAATTTGACTGACCTCGTAACCATCATAAACAAAAAACAAAATTACCATTTTTTCTTTCTAAAATTACTTCAAATTTTAGCAGAAAACAACATTTCTTTGCACTAAACAGTTTAAAACCTTCATAACCTTATACAACTGTTTATAATTACATTTCATTTTTTATTGCCTTTTGAACCGTGATTTTTAAAATTCCCGCCATAAGAAGTGTCGAAATATGCGACAACGTGAAGCAAATGTTACACTAACCAAGTTACATAAAGCTCGTGCTACTCGTGAGCAGTTAGTCCTAGCGAGTGTACCCAGTTGAAAAATTTTACTCTCAAGATCTAGGCAGCTCTTTTTCCGATGAAATGGTACAGTTTGCAAAATTTTTTGATAGTGAAACACCATCCGCCCAACAATGCATCAAAACAATAAAAAACAAAACTCGAATCTGTTTTTCCACGATTTTAGGGTAATGTTTTGGCATGCTTGTTTGTTTTGAATTTCGCGCAAAGCTACACGAAGGCGATTGCGCTAGCCGTCCCTAATTTGGCAGTGTAAGACTAGAGGGAAGGCAACTAGTCATCACCACCCACCGCCAACTCTTGGGCTACTCTTTTACCAACGAATAGTGGGATTGACCGTCACATTATAACGCCCCCACGGCTGAAAGGGCGAGCATGTTTGGTGTGACGGGGATTTGGTTTTGGCATGCTTTAATAATGTTGTACAATAACTATATTGTTTTTTTATGTACCTAATTCTTTTTTTTACTTGCCATGTTCTACAAGTAAATAATTATTATTGTAATCGTTTAATTTTAATATATCATCCTTAAAAGTTAGATGCATCATATTCTAATTTACATCGAATAATTAGCTTATATTCAGTAATTAACTTAATATGTATTAATTATAATTAACTTCAAATTTGCTTGTACCCTATTCAAGGGGCCTAAAAAAAAAAGTGCGCCATGGCCTCAAATTACCTTAATGAGGGTTTGCAGACAACACACTACTGCATAATGGTGCGAGTGATTAAAACAAGTGACCCCTCTAGGCCACCTTAAAACCAACAAACGTGAGTACTGCTGTCAGTAATAATTATCAAATTAGGTTTATAATCTCTGATGAGGTAAGCAGGTCTTAACGTATTAACTACTTCTCAGTTCTGCAATAATCAATTGCGAATAGGGACAGTCGTAATGCCAACAAAATAAAATAGTAAGTCTTTATAGTAATGATTCCCTGTTCAAATGCTATTTTGGTTTCACTTTATTAGGGGCAACGATACACTAATAATTAGGAACACGTAACTCCGTCAAGATGTGATTCTCTACTAATACTAAAAAGCTAGAGCATTTTCTCAAAGTGAAAGCAATGGAACAACATATTGGAAAATAGTTGCTCCTTCCAACTGATGCACCAAGAGGGTCATTACGTACAACGTTCCTTCCAACTGGTGCACCAAGAGGGTCATTTATGTACAACGTTCCTTCCAAATGGTGCACCAAGAGAGTCATCACATACAAATCATCAGAGCCATTGTAAATGCATATCTAAGGCTACATCTGCTGAATCATGGAAAGTTCTACGCCAAACAAGTTATTTTCAACGATACTTCTTAAAGACACAGATTAAACAAAGCAATTCTATTCATGCATTGGTAGATTTTACATTGTATGTGATATAACATTTATCGTAAAATATTGTATGCAATACAGTTAATTCCCGCACTTGCATTGGAAATATATCACCTCTAAAAATGTATGTTTCTAATTCCACAAAACGGTAACCTTTAAATAGTTTAAATTTGTAATACTATGAAACCAAGATACATGCAATTCCTACTTTGTATATGCCAACCAAAGCGAATCATCCAAGCACGCCCAGCAGTGTTTAACATTAGTGTCAAAAATCTAGTTAAGTTTCTTGAATGGTACAATAGATCACTTTAACCCATTGATACAAGTTATTTCGTTACACCTCACAATATATTCAACAATATTTTATTGTATTCTCAGGATTTTGTCTGTTGGAAATGGACCAGGAGTGGGCTAGTGATTAGTAAATCAAAAGTTAAGGTTTGAACCGTGATGCCACTTAAAATATTTATATAGCACTTTTAGCTGTGGGTGCATTACAAAAGTAACAGTCAATCCTACTATTCAGTCCAAAGAACCAGATAAATCCCTTCGGCGGTAGGTGCTGCTCTCTTTCTAGTTAGTAAATGAAATTGAGGTGTGGTTATATCTAAATCCTAGAGGTCTCTGATATGGCCACTTAGCTCACGTGCACATAAAGTAACACTCATTCTGAAAATTCCAATTCCTGCTGGAGTTTTCCAGTGGTTTGTCGGTCTAAAAAACAAACACAAAACTAGTCCTTCACTCGATAATGGCAGGAAATTTGCAGCACATCAGAAGATATGTTGCCAAACTTCTAACCAGAATCGATCATTTTGGATCACACTTGGATACAGTGCCTAATTTCTGCCCGATCTGAGATCCGAAAACTGTTTTGGATTTTCCTATTCTTTAATCTAAAAGTGGAACCACTATACTCCAATTTAAGTTACACTGCAAATTGATATTTCACTGACGTAGTCAATTACATTACATTCACTAGCTCCATTCCAGACAATAACATCCATAACTTTCTAATTGTTATCTTCCAAATACCTAAATCCTCCCTACCCATCAGTGAGGTTCCGATACCCCCTTTTTTTCTATAAATTAAGCATTTCTATGATCAAAGGCAATTATTATTTCGGAAGTTGATGAGATTTTATAACATAAAACGTTAAAAAAATCACATGAATTTTAAGCTTGATAATAAAAAAGTAACTGCAGATACTGAGAATTAAACTATAAATATTTTAATAGTCATCTTAGACATGTTATTTATGTTCAAAAAACTTTAAAAATTGTGCAATATTTCGACCTCTTGTGTAAAAGTTCGAGACAATTACAAAACTACCCAGGGGCTTTCTTTTAGTGCTAGTTGATGAAGGATAAAATATTCCGCCAGACGTCTACTTACTTGCAATCAATTTCTTTTTCTTCGGCATACGTTAATTGTTTGAATTAGTTAGAAACTGACTGCGATTTGTTCACTTCCAATTTGGATTCAATTTACTGGAAAATAATAAACTGAATTATTATTTTTGTTACTAATCTCAGGTCTCTGTCAAAAGAGGTTGGACAGCACAAACGCCGCCGAACATGGCGGTGAACTGTACTGTAAGCAATGCTACGGTAGGAAGTTCGGGCCTAAAGGTTACGGTTTTGGCCAAGGTGCTGGCACCCTTAGCATGGACACTGGAGCGCATCTAGGCAACACTGAAACACAAATGTCGTAAGTATAGCTTTCTTTATCGTTTTAAGTTGTGAGTTTCGTACATAACTGTAAGGCCCTTGAGAAATAACTACAATTATATTACAGGATCCTCATGAAATGAGGATTTAGTGTTTTAAAAATGTAGTTATTTGACAGAAATGATGTAACTAGTACTTTTATGGTCTATTCTAACATTTTTTACTGTCCTTGTGGATATTATTTTGTAGAAAACAAATCGAAACATTTAAGGAAGCAATTTCGAAAGTTGAGAAACATGGTCTGTGTGTGTACCATCTCTTTTAAGTTATCCCCCAAACACCTCTCACTTCCGAATTCAAAGTTTTCTGCAATAATCTAAGGTCTGACGAGCATTATCCCAAGGTCAGAGTGCGGCAAAATTGTCTTAGACTTCGCTGATGATGGAATTTGTTTGTTTGTAATTATGCACAAAGCTACACGATGGGCTATCTGTGCTCTGCCCACCACGGGTATCGAAACCCGGATTCTAGCGTTGTAAGTCCGCAGACATACCGCTGTGCCACTGGGGAGCTTGTTTGTTTGTAATTAAGCACAAAGCTACACAATGGACTATCTGTGCTCTGACCACCACGAGTATCGAAACCCGTTTTCTAGCGTTGTAAGACCGCAGACATACATACCACTGGGGGACTGATGATGGAATAATAAAGTATATCCTAAAATGTTAAACACCAGTAGTTTTCCCGCCCTGACCACCTGCTTGATCTTCGTATTCTTTTTCAAGAAACAAAAAGTTACCAATATACCTTTATATAAAATTATTTGTCCTTTTTTTGGTTGTCCCCCAGCGGCTCAACGGTAAGTTACAGACTTAAAATTCGATTTTTGCGAGTGAGTAGATCGCAAAAAGCTTGTTCTGTAGAGTTGCGCTAAAACAAACAAACACTTCTAATTTGGTTTATTTGAAAATAAATAAACAAAAGTGATGTATATTTGATAAATCATTAATTAGTGAGTCCGCCTTATTTTTTTATCAAAATTTTGTACTACTTACAAGCGTTGTCTAGCTCGTCTGTCTTACTTCTATGATTTGATTGAGAATGAATGAAACAATGGTTTAAGGCGAAGAGGAACCACTCCTCTCTGACCGCCCACTAATAAACAACAACAATTTAAAAGATAAACTCCTCGTGCCGTGGTGCTGTTGGGAAATCGTAAATTTAGTCAATTACTTGCCCTTAGGACAAAATAGCCACAAAGGTTCTATTCAAACTTAAACAAATATTACTGGTGAAAAACAATTTATAAACTTGGCACGTGTTAAGTATTTGAAGTTTAAATAGCAGACATGACGGTAAGCTTATAATTAGCGTAGCAAAGAGGCTAAAAAATATCACGTAATAATACTATAACATGTGGTTGTAGTCCTAATTAACAGTCAGTTATCTCCGCGACAGATCTCGTGGATGTAGTCTGCTGAACAGGTGGAGCGATTTTTTATTGCAAATAGAATAAGATTAAAAGGGGGACAAGACACGGTGTTAAAGTCAAAATAAAACGTAAATTGAAGGAAATTGCATTAGAATTGAACTTGTCAAAGGTCAAAGCGAATATGACCTGAAAGTGTCTAAATCGCATTCACTAAACACATTATTCTTGTAGCTGATCAATCACACATCTTTACTCCCTATGACAGCGACACAGGACACAATGCAACTATCTCTGAAACAGCAAATACGTTTCAAATTCGATGACGAGGATCTCACTTTGAGACTAATAATGTTTGGAGACGGCTTGAATGGGTAATTAAGCTACGAAAAGGAATACGAGTTCTCATCTGGTTTTAGTACGAGCCAAAGTTATAGCTTAGAGAAAATTAAAAATTTGGTTGATAAGTATATATTTTACAGGAATATGATATTTAATATTTGCTTATTATGCTCTTTCTACTCACATGCTGAATTTATGATTTAAACTTATAAAATTTGATGTCAAAATCTGCTTGCGTCCTATACACCGAAGGTATGAATAATATATATGTATATATCCGATATAAACAAGCCATGTGTAAATATATTTAAATCGGCATGCATAGTTTAGTTCAATTGAATGTGTTATTTATAACAATAGTAGTTTTTTCTTTCTTTTAAAAACATAACTATTTATAATGCTCTCTAAATAACAAAAAAATAAATTATAGTAATGGAGTTAGTAAACTTAGTAAAGTTTTTCCTAAAACTTTGTCTTCAAAATAAGGGTGCGTCTTATATTCCGAAATATACGGTACTTCCTGTCGACACGTTGCATTTCTTAGGTGGTCCCCAGCTAAAGTATTGTTACGCCTCTGTGTTCGTTTGTTAATTTCCCGGTATAATTCTTCCCGAGGAACTTCAGCGACACGAGTACTTTGCAATAAACTTAATTTCCACAGTCACTTTTACTTAACACACGCTATAATTCACAACGATTCATGCAATTTACTACCACGCTTGATTCAGTTGTCCGTCTTCTTGCCGGTCTTATATACTATAAGAGTGCGTGTCTAGCAAACGCTAGCGCCTTCGCGAATCTTCTAGACACTCATCACATGTTACCAGCGTCAAGTGACTTTGACTTCCGCTGTCGTAACGGTATTAATGAAACAACATATTTTTAGGGGTAACTTGCTTTCTCAAATATAATGTTACAAATAAAACATTCAATCGTAAATACAAAGCTCTTAAATCATTAGAAATACTCTATACACAACTATCTTTGTTTTTCAAGAGGTCAACTAAAACTGTAGCCCTAAGTACAATATTCAATCATGTAGCATAAGTTACTTTGATAGCTCAGTTCAAGAATACCGTAGTTAGTCCTAAACACTATAATACTGAGTGTAGGGTGCTATGACGACTTCTTATCATATCTCCAGCACAATGCTCCCATTTCTTGGTAAATATCATGTCAAGTTTATAGCTGTTGTTGTTTTCTAATAAAAAAGATTCGTGGATATTTTAATGGACAGAATGCATAATTACTATTTTGCTATTAGCGAGCCTAAACTTTCGTCATACTTTATATATATCTTAATTCACTTATAGAATTTAAAAGTTGTTTAAATTTTAATATAATTTCCTTTTTTATAGCAACAAGCCAACGGATCCTAACTATGGTTAATCCATGTTCCATTGCTAAAACAGATAAAACTCACCTACAACAAAGAAACAATACATAAAAGAAAACCTTAACCAGCCAATCAATAGCAGAAATTTATTTTTTTAAGTTATTTATTAATCAGAAAGAAATGTTATGTGATCAGAAATATTACAAATTTATGAAGTCAGAAAGAAAGTAAAAAAGTCACAGTATCTTTTGTTTCTTCATTGCTTCTAAATAATAAAATGGTTATTTATATATTGTATAAAAAGAGTTTAGATACTGTGTATTTTAAAATGCAATAAAGAAAAAATTACAAAACTTGCTTATATATATTTCTTGTTATTACCCTCCTATTGTTATATTAATCATAAAAACCTTGTTTGATTTTAATTAAGAGAAATGAAAGATTTTAATAATCCGTCTTTAAATGTTTGTCAATTTCCTTCTGATTTAAACATTTTTCTTAGACTACTCCTACACTCTGGATGGATATA